ATCTTACTACTACTACTACTTTCTTGGCTCTTCTTTTTATCTTCGTATTGTCTCAATCGAGCCAAGAACCTTTCGTAATCTCTATTCATCTTCCTCGGCCACTTTGAGGTTGGCCCCCTCCTTGATCATAACAAATCATTTCTTCTCATTCATCTCTAAGAATCGCTCCTCATGTAACTTTGAATTGAAATCTTCGACATTTTCGAAGGTGAATGGTTAAGCAAGCACCAGGTTCTGTAGTGCCCGACCAGCCTGAGATACGAATGTTACAAATTCATGCTGGTCTCCTAGGATTACTTCGAGATGTCCGTCTCGATTCCACATAAATAATTTCTGATGAGCCGTCGAAGGCACGGCTCCTACTCCGTGAATCCACTCTCTGTCAAGTAATGCATTAAAGTTGGCATGTGATTGGACCACAACAAATACAGTAGGCCTCGAATAAGTGCCCACTTTTACATCCAGGGCAATCATGCCTTCTGAACTTGATGTTTTTCCACTGAAATCAGAAATCATAATGTTATGCTTGACTAAGTCTTTCAGTTCAATGCCAAATTTCTTTAGCATATTAATTGGCGGTATGTTTACCGTTGCTCCACCATCGACAAGGACTCTGTTCACCATCTGTCCTTGAATCTCGATATTCAATAATAAGGGTTTCGAGATGGAACCTCATTTCTTCGAGATGGAGGATCAATGAAGGCGGCATCTCTATGAGGTACTTCACATGATGTTTGTGTAACCCATGTTACCTTTGGCTTTACGTTTTACGAGTAAAAGTCATCTTCTCGATTGACATCACTCTGTTCTTGGTACTCTTGATATTCACTAACATATTCTGCTGGTAGTATCGATATCACTCTGATTTGATGTTCATCCCAAGTACCATCATTCTTATCATCGAAGAATTCTCTTGTATATTGACTCTCCATCGGTACAATATTCTCTTCAAAGTTTCTATAATTGTTCCAATAAGGGATCCTTCCTCCTCTTCTCCAGGGCCTTCCTCGGAATCTCCTTGGGAATGTTGGGAATCCATTGTTCGATCCTTCATCGTATGACAGCCTCTCGAAGACACCATTATTTTGAAGTCTTCCTCTTCCTCCTCGAGAAGGATACATCTCTCTTCTAACCCATTGCCTTTGATTTCCGCTAACACCGGAACCAACGGATTTCTGTCGACTTTCTTCGATCGTTGGTCGGACCGTTTGATCTACTTTGTCATTTTTTCTTTTATTCTGGTTCTCGATCTTCTTTATCTGTTCAACTCTGAAAGCTTTGGCAGCCGATTTATCGAATATCGCACTGCATCGTGGGCATAACGACACATCTTCATCTTTCTCTTTCTTTCTACTCAAAAATTCAATGAGAGAATCTCTTGATCGAGGGTAAATCTCCTTTTCGAACTCTTTCTCGAATTCACTCAGGTCAAATTCCATGTCTTCCTCAGATACGTCCATCCTAACATGCTTGGGATCAATGTCTTCAGTAACATCTACCATACCTATAAAGGCCGAATTTGTCAATCGGACATCATCAGCAATGCCCGTTTGGGATTCGAGGTATCCTACTTGAGCCTCGAATGGACTTGTGTCAATTTTCATTGTCATTTCTTCGAACTTCAACCTTCCTTGGTCGATCGCATCTTGGATCGTGTTCCTGAAATGTATACAATTGTTAGTCCAGTGTCCATAAACATTATGAAATTTGCAATATTTTCGACTATTCCTTTGTTCTATAGAAGGCGGTTTATGATCATCACTCGGCTTAATTTGTTTGTCTTTCAATAGAATATCAAAGATTTTGTACTGCCTTTGTTACATCAAAAGTATATGTTCGATTTGTCATTTTGTCTTTCACTTCATTTTTACGTAGTAGTTTACGAGATATATGGAGCTCCTACTTTGAGCTCGGCTATATTCACTTTCTCATCGACGACTTCTTCAATATCGATTTACTGTCGTGGGATCTATTTCATACACATCATTTATATATGCTACCTTATCTTTTCTCATGGGTTTTTCAAATTTCTTATGCCTTTGTTTTTCATACTCAATTTGTTCCACTCTTCTTACTTTATCGGCTAATTGAGCCATATCATTCAGTGGTAAATTGACTAATTTTTTCCTGATCGAGAATTCTAAACCTGCAGAAGTCATCCTGACTAATTCATATTCAGGAATTTGAGTAAAACATCTCGACTTCATTTGTCTAAATCGATTTAGATAATCATCTATACTTTCATGGTTGTATCGTTTTATGTTCATCAAATCGATGAGACTTACTTGAGTCTCTCCTCTAAAAAATTGTTCATGAAAATTTCTCTCTAACTACAACCAATTATATATCGAATTGGGTGACAACGAAGTGAACCAAGTAAAAGCATTCTTAGTTAAAGAACTAGGAAAATATTTCATCTTTAATTCTTCACTCATCGCTAAATCCCCACATTCGATCTGATATCGAGCTACATGCTCGATAGTCGATTCACCAACTTCTCCAGCAAATTTAGTGAATTTGGGTACTTTGTATCCTCGAGGTAATTCCGTCTCGAGAATCGCATTTGGGAAAGGTGACACAAAATACGTTGGATTGGGTGGTCTAAATTCCATCCCTTGTAAATTCATCCTCTGTCCTATCATGTTATTTTGATTGTATATATTTTGAAATCCTTCGTTCAAATTCCCATAAATGTCATTCCTCACGTGTTGGTACTCATTTCCCATATGCTGATGTTGATCATTGTTTCTATTTCTCCTCAATAGATACGGGGGATTGATATTAGTATTCTGATTAGCATGATTTTCTACCCTCGTTTGTCGAGGTACAGCCAATGCATCCCCGATTCGTGACATTTGATCTGCTAATATCTCAAAACTAGCGGTAGTGTTTTGAACTAATGGATTTAGGACTGTAGTCAACTGTTGTGATAACATATTCACCATCTCAAAATTACTCTCATCCATTTGTTGTCTAAGTATTCCCAAAGAGTTACTGGATATTCCAGTACCAGTATTTTCGATAGTATCAAAATTAGATCGATGATAATCCCTATCGAACGTATATCTCCCATGATCTAAGTTTCTTCTATGATCTAGATTTGGAGGTATTTGCTGCGTTCCTACACTCTGCACACTCCCTGAGTTTTGGGGAATTACTAAATTTTGAAATGTTCCTAGGTTTGGAGATACGCCAAAATTTTGTGGCATACCTAGGGTTTGGAATGTTCCTAAATTATATCTCGAATTTCGTTGTATCGAGGAAGTACCAACCCCATTCATGTTAAGCGAGAACCCAGGTGGTCTTGCACTCATATATGGCCCAGCATTTGTTGTTACAGGATTTCCCATAGTTTGCATACTATTTAATGCCACCGTACTAGATCCTACTTGGGTGTTTGCTAAAGTGCCTGAATTTTGTTCATTACTCACGGGTATCGACATACTTACAGTTGTCGATACTACAGGTGTATTCCCATTATGACTTTGCCCCCCAGTATTTGATGAGTGTGACCCATTTAATCCCTCACTGTTACTCTGGTTACTTGATGAATTCAGATTCATGACTCTCCCACTTCTTAATCTCATACACTCTCGAACTAACCAATTGTGTTTTTTCAACACACGCCCCCTACCTGGTGCGCCAATTTGTTTCTGGTGGAATCTCGATCGATTTCGATTCTAAACAGTGTTATGGTCCTAATCGAAATCCTCCCACGTAAGTTCTTTTTACTTAGGCTAGCAGTCTGACTTTCAATCGAAAACGTGTATGAGAATCGAAAGTTACAGCCTATAAAAATGTTATTTTTTAGTATTTTATATTTAGACTACCGAAAGCAGTAAAGTATCGAATCGAGAAACAGAACATTAAATTGCAAGGAAATATAAAGTGCGAAAACCCCAAACTTGCATTAATTGTAAATGACAAGAAATCGAAATTGCAAGAAAAGTAAATGACAGGGAAACTTAAATGCAGAAACTTAAACTTTCATTAAATTGAAATGACTAAGAATCGAGAATACAGAAACATAAAATTGCTGAAACATAAATTACCAAGGAAAATACAAAAAGCGGTAAATGTACTCAGTGAGCAAGGAAATCCAGATTGCCAGAAGCTTCATGGTGTTCGTCGCTTCTCCGGTAGACTTTTCACTACTGATTCTGTTCTCTGCCAATTTCTGCCCCCTCGTTCCTTCCTCCTTTGCACTATTTATAGGGCATCATTCAAACCTTCCAGGAGCAGTTAACAAAAACTGCTACCACGTTCTTCGTGCGCGTTGCAGTTTCTTCTTCTGTGGTGTCAAAACTGCACCCACGTTCCCATGATCTTCAACTTCTGCCACGATTTAGAAATTGTTTCCTATATGCGTGTTTAACTCCTCTTTATGATCTGGCCACGATTTCGATTTTACGCGGGTTAACCTTTCTTTCGATTTAGACTTCGATTTTATCGAGAACTTCGGATTTACTTTTGATTCCTTTTTACCTTAGCATCATATACTTCTAATTTCTTGGTTTGTTCCACAATAAACTTTTGACTATTATTTCTCCGATTCCAACTCTAACTTTCGATTTTATGTGTCATGCCATTCTAATTGGACATCGAATGGTTCCTCATCTACCTTTTCGTTTTACCGATCAGTCACATGTTTCTCGATTTTTCTTTCCTTCATTTTTTGGATCGCTTTTCTCGATTTCCTACTAACACATAGCGATGAAGCTTCATGGAGCAGCGATTTCTACAGAGCGAAACTGAAACTTAACAGTGTGAGCTTTTCTTTCTTGCTTCCTCTGTGATTGCTGTTCCTCGTAGGTAACGAAAAGGAAGAAAAACGTATTGATTCTGGTTATGCGCTTCGATAGCATCGTTCTAGTTTTGTTGTTATTAGCCACAGTTACGATGCATTCACTCGCTCATATAAGTTGTAAAAACAACGCTGAAATGACCCAACATGCTTTTTCACTTTTACTGACTCGGTCGGGTTTCATCGAATTGAGTCAATGCCTTCCTATTCTTCATCGTCATCATCCTTCTCAAAATCAAAATCGAAACCGCAATGGAGAAACGATGTGTTCATTAATTTCCGGGGGGAAGACACTCGTAGGAATTTCGTTTCCCATCTCTATTCTGCCCTCATAGAGAGTGGAGTCAACGCTTTTCTGGACGATGAGAAGCTTGCCAAGGGAGAAGAGCAGAAATCTGAACTGTTGCATGCGATAGAAGGGTCTCAAATATCCATCGTTGTTTTCTCCCGAAACTACATTCACTCTACATGGTGTCTGGATGAACTCCTCAAAATCATGGAATGCCATGCTTTTAGAGGACAAGTGGTATTGCCAGTATTTTACGATATTGGGCCCTCATTTTTACGTGACGCCCAATATATTTCGTTCGAAGTCATTTCTAACCAGCTGAACAGGATAAAACCATGGAAGAAAGCACTGTCACAAGCAGCAAATTTAGCAGGTTGGGATATGAGAAATTACAGGTATGCAATCTGTGCTGTTTTTTTCTTTCTTTTTTTTTCTTTTTTTATTATTATTATGTTCAGCATCAGCACTGAGAGAAGTAATATCTGAGTGCAATCTTTCCGAGTCGGTATTTGCATGAGTTTGATTTTGTAGAAGTAGAGAGACACTATACAAGAGGCTTATATGACCTACTTATAGTGTTCTCTTACAAGCTACTATTTTCTGTTTTTCTTACATGACGAGACGAGGAAAACCTCTAGGAGTAAAATCATATGAAATTCAATGTTATGAAAGCTTTTATTTGATACTTTTCGACTAACCATAAAGTTCTAGACGTAGGCTTATGAGTCCATCAACGAGGATATTTCCTTCACCAAAAAATTTCTAGGATCACTTCTTTTTCATTCCGGAATTCACATTTTGAAATGATATTTTTTATATTTGGAAATATGAGAAGTGACAAAAAGAAATTTTAGATGCAGAAAGTTGAGTCCTACTTATGATCATAGTCCCAAACTCTTCAGAGAGGAGTCCGTATAGTTTACGAAACCACAGGCACAGTTGTTATTTACGATATTACTGATGTACTTATAAAAGGTTTAGTAAAAGTGCTTCTGCTACGAACGCAATGGCAGAAAGTGTTTCTGAGGTTATATGTAACTGAAATTGTGTGCTAAGCTTATAATCTTTTGACCATTTGTGTTCATTTCCATTTTGGGTTGTATTTTGTTGCAGAAGTGACAATGATGTTATGAAGGAAATTGTTGGTGAAGTTTTGAAAAGACTGGATAAAACATACTTGTCTATCACAAAATTTCCAGTTGGACTAGAATCCCGTCTGCAGCATGGTATTGACTTTATTAGAAATAAAAAACTAGGAACTTGTATATTAGGGATTTGGGGAATGGGGGGAATTGGCAAAACAACCATAGCCAAATTCATTTACAATGAAATACGTCATGAATACAAATATAAAAGTTTTCTTGCAAATATCAGAGAAGTTTGGGGAAGAGATAGAGGCCCAATTGATTTGCAAGAACAATTACTTTCAGATATCCTTAAAACAACAAAGAATAACGTGCATAGCATTGATTGGGGAAAAGGCAAGATCAAGGAAACGCTTTGCACGAAAAATGTACTTGCTGTTCTTGATGACGTGAACACCTTTGAACAATTAAATGCACTATGTGGAAATCGAGATGGAATTGGTCGAGGAAGTGTAATAATCATTACAACCAGAAACGTACGTCTGCTCAAAGAGATTGGAGTTGACTATGTTCATGGAGTGGAGAAAATGAATAAAATTGAGTCGCTTGAGCTTTTTAGTTGGCATGCTTTTAGGAAAGCAAATCCAACTAGAGACTTCTTTGAACTCTCAAAACAAGTAATTACATACTGTGGAGGACTACCACTTGCACTTGAAGTTCTTGGATCTTTCTTGTACAGGAGAAGAGAAGAAGAGTGGCAAAGTGTATTATCAAAACTAAAAGAAATACCCCATAACAAAATACAAGAGATATTAAAAATAAGCTATGATGGTTTATCAGATCATATGGAGAAGGACATATTCCTTGACATATGCTGCTTCTTTATCGGTAAAGACAGAGGCTATGTCACAGAGATACTTAATGGTTGTGGCCTTCACGCTGATATTGGAATAACAGTCCTGGTAGAAAGGAGCCTCATCAAAGTTGAAAAGAATAACAAACTTGGAATTCATCATTTACTACGTGACATGGGAAGAGAAATTGTTCGTCAGAGTTCACCACTACCACAAAGGCGCAGCCGATTGTGGCTTCATAATCACGTACTTGATATATTGACAGAACATACCGTAAGGACTCTGTCTAACTATTTTGAACTTTCAATCATCCACTGTGATCTTATCAGGACCATAATAACACATTTTGTTTTAATTTTCTCAATCGTATTGTTTTTTTTTCCTAATTTTTGGCTGAAAGGGATTATTAATTCTGGCTTTTGATAGTGTTTGTCTAATAGTAGCGCACTCCTGCTGTATGATTAGGCTACAGTGTTTGTGCATTGCTTATTACCTTTCTGGTGAGGAAACACTTTTATTGATTTCTTAAATTTTCATGTGTTTTATTATTTAACAGGGAACAGAAGCTATTGAGGGATTAGCTTTGAAATTGCAGAGAACTAGCAGAGTTCGCTTCAGTGCCGAAACATTTGAGGAAATGAAAAGACTGAGGCTTTTGCAATTTGATCATGTCCAACTTGCTGGGGATTATGGGCATCTTTCCAAACACTTGAGATGGGTCTATTGGAGAGGATTTTCATCAAAATTCATACCTGATAACTTTTATCAGGGAAACGTAGTTGCTATTGACATGAAACACAGTAATCTTAAGCTAGTTTGGAAGGAGCCCCTACACCCGGTATATCTTCCATAAAATTTTATATGATGATCATACCAATTGCTTCCTCCATCTACTTTATTAATACTCTTCTAAACAATATCTCTTGCAGTTGCTGGAAGGGCTAAAGTTCCTCAATCTTAGTCATTCCAAATTCTTATCAAAGACCCCTAACTTTTCAAACCTACCAAATCTTGAGAGACTCATTCTAAAAGATTGTCCAAGCTTGTCTGAGGTGCACCATTCCATTGGTGATCTGCGTAATCTTCTTTATTTAAATTTGAAGGACTGTACATGCCTTCAGAATCTCCCAGTAATAATCTATAAGTTGAAGTCTTTGAAAGTACTCATCCTTTCTGGTTGTTCCAAGATCGACAAGTTAGAAGAAGACATAGTACAAATGGAATCCTTAACAACTCTAATTGCACACAATACTAGCCTAAAACAAGTTCCCTTTTCTATAGTAAGATCCAAAAAGATTGGATATCTATCATTTTGTGGATATGAAGGATCAGCACGTGATATATTTCCTTCTATCATATGGTCTTGGATGACACCAACAAGAGGCCTTGTATCCTCTATACAATCATTTGGGAGCACGTCAACATCTTTAGTCTCTGTGTATATACAGGATAACAATTTGAGCAACCTATTATCAGAGGTTAGTGAATTTCCAAAACTTCGAAGTATTTGCGTGCAATGTTACTCAGATCTTCAACTAACTCAAAAATTAAGAATTGTGGATGACTTCTGCAATGTAAATTTTGCAATGGAAACAACATATGCATCACAAATTTCAGAAAGTTCTATGGTATCTCGGTTGATTGGAATGGGAAGTTACTACCAAGTCATGGATATGCTTAACGATAGCATATCAGAGGTTCCCTCTATATCTCTCTACTCTCAAGTCTTTGTTCTCTCTGTGTGTGCCTTATATTTACTTTTCATTTTGAGAACATTGAATAACCTTTACTTGGAAAAATTATGTAATTGTTCACTAATCAAATATAGGAATTGAAATATAAGGAGGGATTTATGCGTATGCTTCACTAGAGTGAATTTTCCCTTGGCTGGGAGCACTGCTCTGTCACTTCTTTTCTATATCATAAATTGAATCTAATAATAAAATCTCCTTTTCTAGATGGGATATATGACAAAATCTTAAAATTCAATACACAAGTACTATCTTGAACGAATTTTATGGTTTGAGATGATCAAACTTTATTGTAAGTGGGGTCAGAAAGAGCATGTAGAACGGGAAAAGTGTAAAAAGTGAGTAATAGTGCGTGAACCAACTTTTGAAAATAGCCTTTTATCTCATTACAATTTGAAAGTCTTCGATGACATATCATTTCCTTTGGAGTTTTACAATGAAATAGATATCTCACGTAACTATTGACTGAATTCATTTCAATACATTTCCTTGTCTATGTTTTATGCAGTACACTTATGTTCTTAAACAGACACTATAATGGCACAAAATATCCACTTGAATAACGAAGCTTTAGTTCATGATACAGGTAATGAAAACTCATAGTTCCAGTGATTTTGTCCTTCCAGGGGACAATTATCCTTATTGGTTAGCCTATACAGGGGAAGGATATTCAGTACCTTTCCAAGTACCTGATGATAGTGATTGCCCGATGAAGGGGATGACTTTGTGTGCTATTTGTTCGTCAACCCCTGAAAACATGGCAACTGAAAGTCTTGCTAGTGTCTTCATCTTTAATTACACAAAGTACACCATTCAGATATATAAGCAATCAACAACAATGTCCTCTACTGATGAAGATTGGGCAGGCATAATATCAAATCTAGGACCTGGTGACAATGTGGAGATTTTTGTATGTTTTGGGCATGGAATGACAGTTGAGAAGACAGGTGTCTATCTAATATTTGGTCAGTCAGTTACAAGAATGGAGCCATCACCTGAAGTGAGTGCACCGCCATCAGGTGACGGGAGTGTGCTATCATCACCTGAAGTGGAAATGGAGCCATCTCTTAATGCCCAAATGGAGCCATCTCTTAATGTCCAAATGGAACTATCAAAGAAGCCCAAGAAAGATATCTTTTCAAAAAGTGCAAAGAAAATGAAAGCATGTTTTTGCTTGAGTTAGAACTAATTTTTATTGGATATTCAATAGTAATCATGCAGGATTTAAGTGTTTCCAGTCTCGTGTGATATTGAATTTTTTTCTGCAAGAAAAGAAAGACACTGTTCATATGTATGTGTGTGTATATATATATATATATATATATATAGTAGTTGGGACCAAATTAATCTGGTATAACTAATATAATACTGTTCAATATCTATAGATTAGATCATGTTTTTTCAAAACTTACCGAGTACAAGTTGTGAGTATCTTCTTTGTATATTTGCTAGTATTCGACAGCAAGGGACAAGTAAAACAATATTTTAAATTAAATGTCTTCATCGATGAATAGAATTTTACGGACTTAGGAACTTTAGGTAGTACCTTAATTTAGATTGGGACCTCTTGATACTTGAGATTATGATGAGCCTAATACAACACGATACTGCCAATGAAGAACGTTGTTTGTTGGGTATTATTCCAATTTTACTTAGGTGAAGTTGAAAAGATCGAAGAGTTGAATTGTAAGGAAGTTATCTTTCTTTGCACATACCGGTGGATGATAATTACCTCTAAAAGATATCTAATGTTTGCACACACTGGTGGATGTAGTTCCATAAAGAGGTGGGTATTCAGATAAGTCAGTGTGCAAAGCTGATAACCAACAAAACTCGCAACTCATAAAGTTCACCCTGCGAAGCCCGCACTCTAAACCGGCCAAATTTGGCAAGCCTATTTCCGCGAGTTCAACGAACGGCCTGCATTTGATAAAATAAAATAAAATAAAAACTGAAAAATATCACTTAAAATGTATAGTTTCACCCATTTTAAAATCTAACTATAATTTGACAAATAAAATAAATTATTTTTCCAATGTGATAACATAATTTGTACTCTTAAGCAACCTAAAAATATTTTTCTACTTATTCTATAATTTTATATAAAATAAAATTATTGTATCATCATTCAACAAATATGAACCATAAAATGTAACTTGTTGGTCAATGAACCTTGAGAGAATTACCTGCTATTTTCTCCACAGTAGTGACAACATCAGTCTGGTTCAGAGCTGAACAAAAGGAAGTCTATCAAAATTTTTATTTTATATAACAATCAGTTAATCAGATCTAGTACCATTAATAACTACAGCAGAATGAGAATTTAGGGTCAATCCCACCCACCACTGCATTTTTCATTGAAACTTAATCTATGTTGGAGGCGGATAAGAGAACTACCATTACAGTAAACTACAATATACTCCATAAAACATCAATACCCAACTGCAGATATAAAATACATACTAAAACAAGAGTTTGGAAATACATACTACCATTACACTTCATGCAAATGATTGACCTTCATCTGCTAAAAATTAGATACATACACCTATGTTAACGTACGAAAATTTCCATTGCAGAGTTAAAATAACTATTTGCATTTCTATTTCTTCCATCTTCGAAATTTTTCACACAAACTACTACAATAAATTACTACAACCCCGCAACCTTCTCATGTCACCCACTTTAATGTTATCTTAATATTTACCTATAGTAATTTCCCCAGCAGTAAGAGGAAATCAATCTTAATTGAAAGAATTACCCAAATATTTCCAGAACAAGTAAAGGTATGTTCTGCATACCAAGGACTAAAATGATTTAAGAAATTCCAGCCCCATGAATAGCCCAAGTTGGTTGATTAAAATAGTAGTTAAATACATGTTATCCACCAAATATTTGTTATGATTCTTAAGCATCATACCTTGACAAACCATGAGGCCTAACACAATGGGAAATGAACTCTAAGATTTGAGGAATGTAATGAATATCTCCTATATATCAATGTGACATATAGGATATTCCCGCCTCTCCAAGAATAAATAGGAATTCCAGACTGACTTAGGCATGCCTGAGAAAAATTGGCTGAAACCTCTACTCTTTTGGACTCTTACATTACAACTTTCTTGATGAATCTTTTAAAGACATTTTTCTTTGGTTCTTTCTTTGGCTCAGGTGACGGGTTGTTTTCCTTGTCAATTGATTCATCACACATTAGATAGATAGCTGTCTTCTTGACCACCAATCCATGCGCAAAATTCACAAAAATCTCCAACTTGTCTCCAGGGCCTGAATTTGATACTATGGCCTGCCAATCTTCATCATTAAAGGAAAATACTGTCTCTCGCTTGAATATCTGGATGGTGCACCTTGTGTAATTAACCATTAAAACACTAATGAGATATTCAGTTACTGTGCTTTCAGGGGTTGATAAATAAACTACACATAAAGTCATTCCCTTCATGCGACAATTGTCAGGCACAGAGAAATACACTGAATGTCCCTCACTCGTATGGGCCAACCAAAAAGGATCATTGGCACCTGGGAGAAAAGCATCACAATACTCACTAGTTGCCAATCCCTGTAGCATGAGCAAAAATGTTTATCCATTTACGTAATTGTGATATTCAAATGTACTCGTACAATCATTATTTTGTTATTCCAGGGCATTTTAAGAAAAAACAACATAATGCATAAATTAAAACATAGTTATGACTATGAATTCAGACAAATTTGGATCATAGTTTTGTTGTGTACTGTATCCATCAACAGCAAATCATTAGGATGCATTTCATTTCTGTATATATCACACAGGTGTTTCAACTTGTATTTCACTGGGTGTATAAGAAACATGAAGCAAGCCCAGCAGCAAGAAAGTGGGAATCAATTTCCTAGAGTTTCATATGAGAATGATCACTTGGCTCGTTGAGTATTAAAATAAGGTATTTTTAAATGAAGCCCTATGATTATAGAAGGAAAAGGTGTTAAAAGGTGCTAAAAGTTGAGCATTTCAATTTCATTTAGATATTTATTGTTCACTTAATTAATAGTTTAGTCGAATAGTGAAGGAAAGTAGAGAAAGGGAAGGGAAGAAACCTCGGATATGCTATCACTGAGAATACTGAAGACTTCTTGATAACTTCCAATCCCAATCAAATAAGACTTAAAGTAATGATTTGACGTTTGTGATGTCGTTTCAAATGGTGTAAAATTTACACCATAATTGTCATCAAGAATTCTTCTTACTTGTTTAGAAACTTGAGACTCTGTGTCACATTGCACCAAAACACTTCGTAGATTTGAAAGGCTGCTAAGCATTGGTGCAAGATCACCCAAATTATAACTTTGCATATCCATGGAAACTAGATATGACGATGTGCTACAAAATGGCTGAATATAAGATAGCGGATTCATTGTTGGTGACATCCAAGACCGAATGATAGAAGGAAAAACATTACGTGAAAATCCTTCATATCCACATAGGGATATATAACCAATGCTTTTTGACTTTACTATTGAAAAGGGCACTTGTTTCATAGCAGTATTTTCAGCAATTAGAGTGGTCAAGGATTCCATCTGCACTACATCTTCTTCTAATTTGTCTATCTTTGAACAACCCGAAAGGATGAGTGTTTTTACAGATTTCAACTTATAAGCTCCCCTTGGCAGATTGCTAAGACTTTTGCAGTCCTTCAAATTTATCAGAAGAAGATTGCAGAGGTCTCCAATGGACTTGTGTACCTTGCACAATCGTGGGCAATCTTTGAGAACGAGCTTTTCAAGATTTGGTAGTTTTGAAAAGTCAGGGGTTACAGTCAAGTACTTGGAATGACTAAGATTGAGGATTTTTAGCCTCCCCAAAACCTACAAAATAGTTTTAGTTAGAAAAATAAATTAGAGAAGCATAAAGTTGAAATAGTGGTTAGTGGAAACAATTACAAGTTTAGTTAACCTTTGAGTTTTAAAAGAAAACGGCATGCAATAAATACCTGAGGTTCTTTCCAGAAAACCTGAAGATTACTATGTTTTAAATCAATCACAATTGCACCTTCCATATAAAATTTTTTAGGTATGTATTTTGAAGGAAACCCTTGCCAACAGATCCATCTCAGTTGCTTAGAAAGATAACCAAAATTTCCAGTTAGTTGTACATGATCAAGTTGCAACAGTTTCAATCTCTTCATTTCATCAAAAGCATAAGCTTTAAAGCAATCTTTGCCGGTGAAATGCAATTTCATAGTCAATCCCTCAATAGTTTCTGTTCCCTGTAATGATAAGAGAAAAAGAAAATGGAAACCTCTTTTGTTAGCACACAAGAAAGTCATACTTAAAGCTCAGCCTAACCACACATATTTTGCATGTGAAAAGGCGAACACTTTCAAGTTTCAAAATTGTATATAAAGAATATGCTTACACTATTATTTGTCAATACATCAATTACATCCTCATGAAACCACAATCGACTTCGCTTCCCAGGTTCCTTTCTTGAACTCTCACAAATTATCTCCCTCCCCATGTCCCGAAGCAATTGGTGCATTCCGAGTTTGTTGTTCTTTTCAACTTTTAAGAGACTACGCTCTATTAGAACTGTTATTCCAATATCAGCATGTAGCCCACAACCATTTAGTATCTCTGTAACATAGGCTCTATCTTTACCAATAAAGAAACAACATACATCAAGAAATATATCCTTCTCCATGTGATCGCATAAACCATCAAAGCTTATTCTTAATTTCTCTTGAACTTGATCATTGGGGATTCTTTCTAGTTTTGATAGTACACATTCCCAATCTTTCTTTGTCCTCTCTATTAAATAAGAACCAAGGACTTCAAGAGCTAGTGGTAGTCCTCCACAATAAGCAACTACATTTCTTGCTAGCTCATCGAATTCTTCTCTTGGTTTTGCTTCTCTGAAAGCATGCCAACTAAAAAGCTCAAGGGACTCATTTTTGTCCATTTCCTCCATTTTATAAACATAATCAACTTTAAGTAGGTCAAGCAGGTGAAGATCTCTAGTTGTAATGATTACTACACTTTCCTGACCAAACCATTTACGATTTCCACATAGGTCTTTTAATTGGCCAAACTCATTCACATCATCAAGTACAAGGAATACCTTTTTTCCAGAAAGTCTTTTCTCGATCAGAGTTGTTCCCATCCCAACACTATGTATCTTAACCTTTGTTTTTAGGACATCTGAAAGAAGTTGTTCTTGTAAGTGAACATGCCCTCTTCCATTTATTTCACAAGCTTCTCTAATATTTTCAATGAAACTCTTATCCATGAATCTACGATGAATTTGATTGTAGATGGCTTTGGCAATGGTAGTTTTGCCAGATCCTCCCATTCCCCATATTCCTATGATATAGACCTTGGCAGATTGATTTTCTATAATTTCAATCACTTGTTGCACACGGGATTCCACTCCAACAGGAAATTCAGTTATAGACAAGAGTGCGTAGTCTAGTTTTGTCAGTATGTCCTCAACAATGTCTTTCACTAGTTTAGCCGTATTCCTTCAAACTCAATAACAAGTATAAACAGTAAAAATGATCATGTATTAAAAAGATACTAAATCATTCACAAAAACTTGAGAAAACTAGTTAATTTAGTTAGGATCATTATATCTATCATAAATTTATGTGTTCTTACAAAATTACTTCTACCAATATCAAGGCATGCTCTTATTCATTTTTTAAATATATTTATTGGTTTCATTTCTTTTAATCTCTATCATTTATATTATAATAATTACTCTAATTTCTATAGATGCATGGGAGCGTGTGAAGATACAGTAAGATTCCCACAAATAGTTTTGTATACAAGGCAAAGTTAGGCTTCCAAAGAGTTTAACATAGTTAGGTGTTGCACCTACTATTTGTTAAGGCAGATAAATAAATCCTAATTAAGAAAAAAATTGTGAAAAAACATAATGCAAGATACATTTCTAAATTACTACTAAACTCAAATTACTTAATTCACATTTATTAAGAATATTACGAAAGTTCGTGTAATATTCTTGATTTCATAAATAAAATAAAGAAGTATATTTTCTAAATTACCCTCAATTATATTTTTATCAAGAAAATGTCCAGGCTTGTACATAGAGTATTTACGAAACAGTAGTATTAAATTTAGATAAATTCGTCCATATTTGTTTATATTAAGTCTATTAAACATGATTATTTTTTTTCCTTATATTAAAATCCAAAGGAAATGCAACTCCCATAAAAAGCACCAACAAAACCTTTCATTTGGGTATTAGAAATAAATAAATAAATAAATAATACCAAAATAAGTACTACACCACACAGGTCGTAATGACTATAATTGAAGGTTTTCCGCGCGATAATTAAGGTTTTATACGCAAATAAAAAATAAAATTTTGAAACAATTTCACTGAAATAATCTAAATGAGTACATTTGTGGAGTAAATTAAAAGAAAATAAAAATGTTCAAGTGAAAGTTGATAACTTCAATCAATTCGAAATTTGAAAATTTTAAAAAATATTAACACTGTAGTATTAATCTTAAAACATGTCTTATTAAGTTTCAATTAATGAAGAAATAAACCATAAAGTTTTGATTGAAGTACCTGTGATTCTTCAGGTCCCAACCAGATAAATTTGAAGCTTTGTTGAGCGCGTTTTTCCACCTCGACAACCCATACTCCCTGTAATCAGCGGAAAATTTCTTCTGCGCGGCAACTTCCAAAGCTTTTCCAAAACGACCCCTCGGATTGCGTAGGACGGACGCTTCGACGCCGTAGAATATGGGCACGACGATTTGGCCGTAGGATTCGTGGCAATCGATGATTTTCTCAAGCTCTGTGAGGCACCAGGTGGACTCGGAGTAAGTTTCGGAAAAAACAACGATCGCGATCTGAGAGCCTTCGATTGCTCGCGTAAGCTCCTCTAGCGGCGTTCCCTTGAGCAGATTCTCCTCATCGAAGAAAGTGTTGACGCCGGCGTTAGATAGGGCGTAGTAGAGATGGGAGACGAAGTCCCTGCGAGTGTCTCCTCCTCTGAAGTTGATGAAGACGTCGTAGGTCCATTGGGGTTTCGATGAGGAAGAAGACATAGTTGATGAGAAACTTGCAACTGTGAACAAAGTCAACGTGAACGCGCTTCACTCGAGATAAACGTTGAGACGCGCGTTGTGTCTCAAGTAATTAATCCCCGTGTGCGTGTTTGGGCTTAACGAACCACGGATCCATATTAGGTCTATTTGTTAAAAAAAGGTTTTAAAATATTTTTTATAAAAAATTTATGATTTTTAAATCTATTCCTTGACTTCAACCAAGATTTTTCTAAGTCCTTGGCCCTCCGACTGTACACACATAAACTATCTTATGGGAGTCAGTTTCAGGTTATTCTCATGATTGTTAGAAAGCATATATTTTTCCTTTTCCTATATGTTAAACAACAACAAACAGTCATAGTTATTGATTCATTTTTTATAAACACTTTTTGACAAGATGATTTGGGATTGGTAGACTAATTGATCTTAGTATAGTTATTGAGGACAACACTTAGACCTACACAACAATTATTGATACTCACAGTGAAAATTTTCGGCAGGATGGAGAAGACTCATAGTGATATTTTAATGTTATTACCTTTATATTATATTTGACTTCTGATAACTTAATTTGGAATATCTTGTGTTAACAGATTTTCTATTCTACAAACATTTTTGCCTCATTTGTTACTTCTCAAGTTTTGAACTAATAACTAAACTCCTATGCAAACTTCACTACTCACGTTTTGGAGAAACAATGGCAACTATCAGCCATTGTAACTCTCAATAAGTGGTAGGAGTCAAGCACAATTACACCGCTGGGAATATCATATTTATTTCTGCGTAAGTGTTAGAAAAATGCCTATACCAAATAAAAAAATGAATGCCGTTAACAGCTATTTGAAGACACACAAGGTATAAATTTGAAGAAACATAAACTAAGATCAAAACTAATAGCGATTCCAGTAGGTTCTGCGTCTGAACCAGTTGTAATCAGGCAAACGCTGAATAGGTCCCATAGCAGCAATTACAATATCCTGCAAGGCCAAATGTAGTGTGAGTTCCGAAACAAGAAACGGAATAAAATGCCCAGAAAATGAATGTTTTATTGACAGATTAACAAGATAAACCTTGTCATAAATAAATCGGTTAGCAACACGTTTTATTGTGCTTGCATCAACAGCATCAATTCTAGCAAACAATTCTGCAAATGGTATTCTTCTGCCGTAGGTGAGTAGCTGAAATGATGAACACATAAAAAGTAAATAAATATACGAATTATCAAAGAATAGCAGCAAACATTGTACAGATTCAATTATATGCATAGGGTCAACAATAAGAAACTTTCAGCATGAAAAGCTTTTGGTCATTGAAGTGGCATCTCATAAATTTTAGAGAAAAGAAATGAGCTTAAAAAGCGAAGGTTTCATACTCAATCTCTTGTCAAAATTGTCAGTCTGTCAGATAACATGTAAACACAAATAATATCAATTTTTTTTATGCATACAGAATAAGGATCTGGTTGTGCTATTATCATATTGAATTTAATCATCATTTTATCTCAAAATACTCACGCGCTTATCTCTCTCCAAATCAAAAGAAAATTTCTTTCTTAAAATAAATTTGTGGACAAGGTAATTTATACACTATTCCAAGGCCAGCCTCAGTATAAGTCAGTATTATTGGTAATTTACTCATTATAAATTATAATATACAAAGAAAGAGACTTTCATTCTCCCCATACTCTCAATTCTCGATATTATCTTCACTTTTTGGTAGATGACTTTTATTCTTCACTCAACACTCTCAAAACCATACTTTTTCTATCTATATATTTGACATTCTTAATTTCAATCTCTTTCATTTTACTTCTTTATCTCCCTCTAAGTTCGTCTTCCTAATTGAATTCCCAAATTCTTCAAAATGTAAGGTACCCACTCAACCTAACCAGAATGACTCCTTCGCTTGGACTCTATACCTCTCCTAACTGACTGGCTTCTTCTCTTCCTAAATGCCACAACACTCAGCAGCTTGGTTTGGGCTTGGGCCTGGGACCTTTTACGGGAATAGACATGCAAAATAGCAGGCTTGTCTTTCCTATTAGGCTGTCATTCAGGAGTTCCAGTTTTGTAAGTATTGGCTTCCTGCTATGACTTATTTCTTTAAAAAGAAAGTAACAAGTCACAGGTGTACTTCGCACTAAACAGTTAAGTAGTTTTCAACTTGCAGCAGTGTTAAATAATTTTATTCACACCTGTAAATTAGCAAAGCAATTCCTATTATACCCTACCCTTTTTGTCATGAAACGTATGAGTTGAGATTTATTGTACCTGACGCCCAATATCTTCAGCTACGGGACTCGTTCCATCTATGTGGAGCAGGAGTGAAGATTTCAACTGTAAAAAAACACAATTTTAAGTAGCTATCAACTAACAGAATACAGAAATAAATTGAGCGCCAACTAGTCTAACATATCTTGCATGCAGAAGCCAAATTCCAATTTCAAATTGAATTAGCAGGGTAAAGAAACTGTGTAAAATGGGAGCTATGGTACACACCTGATTACGAGCTCGGGTAACATCATCTTCTGAAACCCGATAAGCCAACTTGGTTGTCTCTTTCATGATTGCATAGCTTAAGTCATCCAAGCAATCTTTCTGAACAACAAATTTAACATGAGTTTTCATTACAGAAAAATGTAAAGATTATCGTAGAAGCATAGGATGCATAAGCCAATGTATGTTGCATAAAACTTAAGCATAAATCTTTTAAAAAACAAAAAAACAAAATATCATACTTCTTGAAATAAAATAATTTATATTTATACTGTGCAGAGTTAAAATTAAAGTAGCCACGACACTCTAGATTCTAATATTTATATATAGATTCAAAAATTCTCTCCAATCCAGTGAAAGCTTGAAAATATGGATATCAATCACTACAATCAATGAGACCATTCTTCTCTGTTCACAAATAAATTAGAGAGTTCACAATGCTGCAAACATCTGATGCATGTTAAATAACACTAGTGGAAGGATCAGGAAGATGAATTTACATCAAACAAATGCATACTTTCAAGTTTCTTTGGATTTATTCGATTAGGTTCTCATGTTTCAGTGTAGTCAAGTGTTTATTTAGCTATTTAGAAATAATTAGATTGTCTAGACTAGAAATAATTAGATTGAGCCTGAGCCATATCTTTTTGTAATCTGATTTGTTTTTATCTTACTTCATTTGAACCTCTTTTGCAGGTTAAAACAAGATAAACTACCCCAATATATTATAGAAAATATTAAACCAACATACTACACAGATTTTCTAATCATATGAATCCTAACATTGTCCTCTATAGATCCTGTTCCATCCTCAAACCAGCATCCTTTAATAGTTTTTAAGTAATACAAGTATAAATATCCTGCATAATAAACATTATACTTGGGAGAAAATTACAGGGACAAAATACGGAGACAAAATTGGGGGAAAAGGAGGTTTAGTTCTGTTCGTGAAGGAAGATAAATTTCAGTGGAACTTGATATGGATGCCATGCCACAAGTGCTTCATCTTAAATCAACAAGAAAGATCAGGAAAATTTTGTTCTTGAAAAGATAAGGGCTTAATGGTTATAAAAGGAAACTAAAAAATCCACTGGAAGCATAGTTATGAAAATCAAACAATTCACAATTCAAATATTTGAATCCTATGTTTTTACTTTTTCACCGATTCCCATGAAGAAAAATTAAAAACTCATGTGAACTTAAATTTTAAAATGAAACATGAATTTGAAAGAATACTTGTCAACTTATCATATTTGATTATTCCACCTTTGTTTTTCACTCACTCGTTCAATGCATGTACTCTATTTAGCTATTTAATTGCTTAGTTTCATTCTTCTAAATAAAATCTTCACAAACTTAAATATAACAAATAGTTTTGTTTTGAATGATTCCTGCTATGTTATTTTATCTATTTCTAATTTAAATTGTTTATATTAAACTAAATATCATCTATATGATATATTTAAAGTAATTTTTCATTATATTTGAATCTTGCGATTCAATGAAAAATTATGATTTATAATTCAAAAAATAGATTAGCATTTCATAATTTGAATCTCAATTCGATAACATTGATTGGAAGTATAATAGGAAAGAAATGTAGAAAAATCAAAGGACGATTAGAAACATCCAAGAGGGTTAAAAGTTCATTTGTGATTAGCAGATACATGGTCATTATCAAAGTCTACATGTAAACAATAAACAAATGCATTGTCAATCTTAGAATCTACACGGTGACTCACCTTAGCGACAGCAAAAACACCAAAAAGACCTGTATCCTTGTAATTGGTATTGAAGGCCATCATGCTTTCTGCAACTTCATTAATGCCAACTCGTTGCGCCAACTCAGAACTGTAACAAGTCAATTTTGCTCCATTATGTGATCATGAGGAGGCAAAGCAGCTAGTTTTCTATTTTGGGGTTAAAAAAGAGCTCAAGTGGTGTACCCCATGTGTTTTCCACCTCCTGTGGATTTATTCCAAGAACCCAACATAGCTTGCATGACCATCAGAGCAACGGAATCAGGATCTGTCCACGCAGCACCTTCGAAAGCTACAGCAAATTGTGCAAGGGGAATATCATCATCCAAAATTCTAACCTGTTTTTTGAACGCACAGTAAAATAGTCATTAAATTTTACTACCAAACAAGAGTGTTTCATATGCACTCAGAATGTATATTCTAATAATCTTGCCTCGGAACCGGTAAAAATGGCTGGTTCTTTTGCAACTAATTGAGAAGCTGTGGTGGGATCTGTTGACAACTTAGAGAACAATGTTTTTACTTGCTCAACAATGTCTTCGTGCTTGACAGCTCCAGATGCAGCAACCACCTGAGAAATCAGACCAAACAAAACAGCCATCAGGCCATTTGTCTTATTTAGGTATTGAAAGCTACATTGCATGAAATATTTCACAAAATAACTAATGTCCTAAGAATACTATCAGATGCATTACTAACAAGATGACATAAATAAACAGAAGCTCAATAATTTTCTGCATACCATCCTAGGAGCTGTGTAGTGTGTCTGAATGTAGTTTTGCAGATGAGCTTTAGTGATTGTCTCGATATTCTGAGCAGGTCCAAGAATTGTTCTACCAAGTGGACTGTACTGGAAAGCAGTTGCGTGTAAATGGTCAAAGACTACTTCTTCCATTTGTTCCTCAACCTACAAGCAGTTGCAAATCATAAACCAGTTATCATGAGAATATTACTATGTTAGCCTGTCATAAACCAAATCAGGAAACAAACAGGAAGATAGAAAGGAGTAAAAATAAAAAATAAATAAAAGAAGGAGTTTGCATAGCAATGCACTCAACACACACAACCATGCACATGCACACATACAGACATTTATACACATAATATTAAAGAATCTCTTGACTGTTTTCATCAAATAGACAAACAAATACAAAAAGTGAGACTATATAGTTCTACATGTAGGATCAAGTCCCGCTGTCTTGCAGGTAAGGAAGTATACAAACAAAATCACAACCCAATTCTAAATCAAAATCAAATCTCATGCAACAATACTTGCACCAATTACTTGAATTGGACCCAATTTCATCAATCATTATCTTTAGCAGAAGAAAATAAGATTACAAATATTCAAACTCAGAACAAATGTGTAGTAGTTCCTCAAAAGCAAGAAAACACACCCGATCGCAAAATTTCATTATCTCTAAAAGATTAAAAATCTTGAACGACAAAAGAAATTTTGAAACCATAGAAAAAACGTGAAATTTAAATCCCCATATATATCTCTTATATTTCCCATCAAAGCAGGAAGAAAAAACACTTCAAACCAAATCGCTCCAAACACCAACACATTCAAAATCAATACGAAAAAAAAAATATCATCTCCTCCATTTCCATAATTCAAAGCAAAAAGGAAAAAAGAAAGAAGAAACCTCCACATTCAATCACATCAATATAATCAACACGTTCAATATTAACTTAAAAATAAATAAGAAAATAAAACACAGCAGAAAAAACTAATACATTCAAAATCAACACAAGAAAAAAGTATCACATTCACCATTACCTCTTCCATTTCCCTGAGAATCACATCACGCTCGCGGATAATCCTATTGTCATCGAACTTCGAATTCTGCAAGATATCAGCCAGAATATCAAGCGCCTTGGGAACATCCTTGTCCGTGACCTTAGCGTAGTAAGTGGTCTGTTCGCGCGAGGTGTACGCGTTGAGGTGCCCCCCCATGTTCTCGATCTCCTCCTCGAGCTCCCTGACGGTGCGCTTCGCGGTGCCCTTGAAGATCATGTGTTCGAGGAAGTGAGCGGTGCCGTTGGTCTCCTCGGTCTCGAACCGCGACCCGGCGTCGATCCAAACGCCGACGGTGGCGGTGCGGGCGGCGAGGGAGGACTCGGTGGCGACGCGAAGGCCACTGGGGAGCGTGGTCACGCGGGTCATGGGTGCACCGAGGACGCGCGTGTGGTCGGCTGTGGAGGGGACGGGGGAGCCGTACTTGAGGAAGCGGGGGTCGGGGTGCTCGAGGCGGCGGAGCTTGGCATTGGTGGCGGCGGAGAGGCGGTCGTAGAGCATGGCGTTGGGCGGAGGCGGGGCGGGGAGGGAGGAGGTCGCTGGGGCAGCGGAGAAGGGGCGGGTGGAGAGGGGGAGGCGGAGGCGGAGGCGGAGGCGGCGGGTGACGGTGAGGAGGTTGTTGGAGGCCATGATGGATGGGTCCAGCCAGGTAGGTTTGGACCTTACCAGGTTAGTATGTGGATTCGTTCACAGTGTTATGAGTTTTAATAATTTGAAGATGAAAAAAATAAGAACAAGGAGTATGAGTTTCACTCACTATTCCACTTTCACCACCTTCTCGTTCGGAATTCATTTGACCAAACCAACGCCATACACACATTTCATTTCTTCTTCCTTTTTTTTTTTTTTTGAAGTCACAGAGTGAGTTAGTTAGTTAGTTAGCCCCCGCCAAAGGTGGGGCTAGAGTGCGAACGTGCTTCGTATCTCTCACCATGGGAAAGAATCGATGACCGTCGATTCAACATCGTAAAATTGTGTGGTCCAGATTAGGTTTTGGTTTATATGAGAGAAAGGAAGAAGGTGAGTGAGTGAGTGAGTGAGTGAGTGAGTGAGTGAATTATAAAATAGGAAAATTGATGAGAAAGAGAGGTGAAAAATGTTAATTGATTTAATTAAAATATAATTTATATGTGGCATTGATATGCACTCTGTTTCAAGTTATTCAAAAACTAAAGTATCAATCTATGATGGGCTATTGGGCTTTTCGTACAGGAGAATTCAAAGAAATTGGGTGTTTCAATAGCAATTCGGGCAATGCCAATAGCAGAGCCCAAACATGACTTGTTGGGTTTTTCTTTCGAGAAACAACACACTTTAAGGGATAGTTAAAAAAATCACTTATTTAAATCACATTCCATTTAATAACTACACTATATTTGATTAGCTGTATTATTTTTCATTATTAGTAAAATAAAAATTAGAAATTTATTCTTCATTATATTTTTTATAATGCAGTGATTATTTAATAATTTCATCAAACTTCTTAAAATCAAAACAAGATTATTGTTCTGGTTAATTATAAACTAATAAATTAATTTATCTTTAATTACACCATAATTCAATAAATTTTGACTATACAAAGCATTAATATAGAATAATTTCTATAATTAAGTATTACAATATGTTTCAAAAAAAAAACAATTATTCTAAAAAAAACTTTTATAGGATGTTTTCTCAGTATTTGTTTCTTTCATTTTCATTTTCATCTAGTTGAACCTCGTGCCTGATTTCACACATTACTCTGTTGATTGCACCATTTCACCAACCACAAAGCATCTTTTTTTTATTAATTTTTTGAAAATTTAAAAAAAATACCTTCACAATTCTTTTTCTTCTGTTTCTACTTTGGTAAATTTTTAAAATTAACATAAATGGAAGATGAGACTTCAAACAATTAAAATTTAGATTTTAAGATTAATACGAATCCCACATAAATTTGAGTAAGCGTAAGATAATAATATATAATACAAAAAAAAATGAAAGAGTATAAAAAAATAAGAAAATGTAAAATACTTTTATTTAATTTAATGGTTTATTTTAATATCTATGAAAAATAAAATAAAATTAAAATTATAAATTTACAAATAGATATATTTAATATATTATTAAATTTGAAGAGTAGAATTATAAATAAAATTACAAAAATGTAGGAAATTGAAACCGGTTGAACACCTAAATAGATTGTATTTCTATATATAAAAAAAAAACCTATAAAACGAATATTTTAAGATAGATTTTTAATTGAATTATATTAACAAAGATAGTAATCGACGGAATGAAATAGGTGATATATCTTAAACGGTGAAAAATAGAATAAGTTTTTTAGTTATTTAATTTATTTTTAATATTGAACTTTTTCACCTATTATTATATTATTAGGAGGAAATAATAGACCCAGTTTCGTAGAGTTGAAGATCTGAGTAACGAAACAACATCGTCAGCAACCCACGGTTTTGCCAAATTCTGCTGGCAGACAAGGCACCGACATATGCAAATAATAATTGTAACAATTTTTTATTTTATTAAAGACGTATAATATATAATTAATGAATAGTGACAAGCAAGAGTGCAAAGCCAAAAGAATAAATTTATTTTAATTATAAATTATAGATTCCTATCTAATGCTTCTGAAATTTAAAATTAAAAAACCTATCTTCTTTATGATACTTTTCCTCATCTTTTGTGTGCATCCTATGACGCTAGAACCATGGAAAATTAACCCAAAATATATTATTGTGAAATAATATAACTTCAAAGGTAAAAAATAAAATAAATTTGAATAATAGTTTATAATATGATTTCAAGTCTCATTTCGCTGAAAAGAAATAATATTTGGTATATAATAACTAATTTTAACGATATTAAGATAATTAACATAAATTTTAGATATTTACTCTTTATAATATAATTTTATTAATTTTATTATAAAAGAATCTCACTTCACTTGTATCTATTAATTATTTATTAGAGAATTATATTTTAATATATTTATAAATATCATATTTTATTTTTTACATCAATTATAATTTATATATATATTCTTTTAATGACATAACTTTTAAAAATAAACCTATTTAGATTTTAAAATGTGGAAATAATAATATTGGATTATATGAGATTGATGGAAAAGGAATATGATTACATGGTGATTGTTTTTATCTCCAAATAATTAAACTGGATAAGACAATGAATGAAACATTTTATTTATTGTTTTATTGGATTAAAATTCTGACGTACGACAAAGTAATGAGGACAATCCAGTACTACGATGTAATTATGAATAAATAATGCATTTTTATATGACACTATTCTGGATTTTTCCAAAACTTCTCTATTTTTCAAACGTATAAAACTAAATAAAAAAGTTGCTTTAAGTGCACCACTTACAACTTACAAGAGTTAAATGTAAAAATTATGAATATACTTTTGTTGTGATTTCTAATATAATTAAATACAAATTTATTCCTAATTCCTTAAAGTACAGTGATAAACAATACCCTTTTTATTTAAACCAATGTTAAGTCATCATCAAATAAGTCATAAAACAAACTTATTTGTGGTTTTGTGACTAATAATAACCACGGATTTAGGACAATTTCATTAATCGATCATAATACAAGCTATTAAATATATATATATATATATATATATATATATATATATATATATATATATATATATATATATATATATATATATATATAGTTTCTTTGTCGCATTGCCAAATAAATAATATTATATAGAATAGGACAAAATAATTAATAATCCCACCAATAATTGTATCTTGAAATTTTTTTTAAATTATCCTTGTTTAATAAATTCAACATCTTTAACATTTATTATTACACGATTAGTTTTAAGTGAAAAGTGATTAATATTAAAAAAATGGAATATAACAATTTTTCTTATTTAATAATAAAAAAATGTCACTTTCTATTATAATTGAAAATATTGATTTTTCTTTCATTAATAAATATTCTAACAATCTAAACATATAATTATATAAATAATTTTATAATTATATAAATATTACATTTTTATTAAATAATAATTTTTATTCATTTCATATCACATTCTCTCTAAATAAACAAGTATATTTTTTATTTTATTTCATCTCTAAATTTTTTTCTTTTTATTTTCTTTCTTTCTTTACTATGAACCTAAACTAAGCTATCATGATGCTTTTACTTCTTCATTTTTTTAAGTTTAATTTTAGTTATAGTGTTTTTAAATTGATAAGATAATTTAAAAAAAAAATATGTGAATTTATTCTTCTCTACAAACGAAAAAAAAAACATTAGAAAAAGAGGTTCAAGTAACATTTTTTATTTGATTGAAAATCAAAAGAAAAACTAAATTTCATGTCCTTTTAGGGTTTGAAAATGTAATTCGTAGTTTGAAAAGTGAAGAAACTAAAAGTATTATTATAAGGATTTTTTTATTTTCTATATACATTGCTTTCTGTGAGAGCTGGATTTTGATTGGTGTCATTTGTAGTCGGAAAATATATAATATTTTGTGAATGAACGTTGGAAATAATTTCAATATTTTGAAAACGAAAACAATTAAAACGAATAAGCACGTTATAATAAGTCAAATTGAGTTGTAACTCAATGATGGAAAGATAAACAATGTCTTCGTCAGCAATGTGTATTTTTATTTTTAACGATGAAAAGGAAAATAAATATAATTTTTATCTTGGAAAGAAAAATAATATTTAAGTTGAGGAGAATATAAAGTGAAGATACTTAAGTTACTAACTACCCCACTCTCACATTAAAAAATGAGTAATTTACTTATTAGGGTTTGGTGATGAGCAACGTAATTTCAGGACAACACGTACGTAGAGAGATTCATCTGTATTTTATTGGTTACTACCCAGCAATTTTATTTTATGTGTTTTAAAAAAAAAAAAAAAATTGGAGATATAAAATTCATGTTGGTCTTTGAACGAATTTACAGAAGAAAACAATATTATTGAAACAAAGAAAATTAACATTACTCTTAACCTAGAAATTTAAAAAATTGGATTATAGGTTTTATTTTCTTATATATTATTTAATTTTATTTTTTTTATATGTTGTTTAACTTTTTTTGTATATATTGATTAATTGTTTTTATCTTATTCAATGTAAAACTTAACTCACATTTTAATTATGATGATTTTTTTATTAAACACAATTTGTTTTAAGTAAAAAGATTATGTAATAATATATTTTATAATAAAAATAAGTTAATTATTTAAATAAATAATTTATTTATTAGATGAATCCGAACATATATAATTTTATTTATAGTTATTATACATGATAATGTTTCTTTTATTTAGAAAATAAATAAATTGACACTTTGTTAAAAAATTATTACATGTAAATTTGGTAATATAAATTGTGAAAATTATCATTTTGAAGTAAATTTAAAAAAGAGAGAGTAATTTTAACTTGTACAAAAATTATTATTTTTCTGAATTTATATAGTGTATCTCACGTGCTTTATTTCAGTGCACAACATATAAATTATTAACACGTATCCAACTCCAATTTGAAAATTTGTGGTACGGGAAAGAGTTTTTGTGATTATTCAAACTTGATTTCGAAGTCATAAATCGTGGATTCTGCCATGCATGATCTTCATGTTGTCTGAAATAAATTCTGAACTCCATCATCAAAGTGTCTTCAAGATACAACCTGTCAAAATTGTATTCAACTGTGCCATGCAAACCAATTAATACACTGCCAACAAAAAGTACAATTTAATTCAACATTTTGACCACAATAAAACCAAATGCTGGTTTTGCACCAATCAAATTCTTTCAAAAATCTCTTTCCAAAACATTCATAACTATTTTTTTTTTAATTATTGGGATATTCTAAAAGCAAATGTGAAAGTATTAAATATTATATATCATTCTATTCGCACGCATTTTTCATTTACTTTATATATATATATATATATATATATATATATATATATATATATATATATATATATATATATATATATATATATATAATCTTCAATTAATACTTGAATCAATAAATCTATTAATTGGACTATATTATGTTGTATAGTAGATATATACATTATATTTATAATTAATTATGTAGTTAGATTGCGCGATCGAAAACAAAAAGAACTAATGTCAAGAAATCAAGATTTATAAAAATTAAAAATAATATAAATAGACCATAATTTTAAAATATTAATTATTATTTATTTTAATATAATTATTTCTTACATTTACAATTTTTTTGGAGCATCTGATTATCTTTTATAAATATATCGACAACACTCAACTGAAAAAGAAAAACATAAAAAAATATCATTAATTATATAATAAGAATAATAAGAATAATTTGGAGTATTAAATATTAAACCATAATATATGACCTTGTGAGAAGTTTTCATCTTACCATAATAATAATAATAATAAAATATAAAATATTAATAATAAGAATAATGATAAATTAACTTTCTTTCATTGTCAAATAAAAAAATCAATTTATTTTGTCATTTTTTAAGTTCAAATTAACATTAATTTTCATTCATTAATTATACTTTTTACTTGTCATTTAAAATTTAATTTAAATAAAATTATATATTTTTTATGGTAAATAAATGAGAAAAACATCATAAATGTTTTATTAACATAATTTTATTACATCTTATACATAGAATCCTTAAAATATACGTTAAAAATATATAAAATAAATATTAAAATTATGTTAAAATTTCATTAAAAATAATACTAAATTTTTATTTATAAAAATTTACATGATCTAATTAGCATTTTGTTTATTTTAATATAATAAAATGTGAAATATGACATTTTGCTCTAGAAAATACTTTCTCGTTAAAGGTTTGTTCACATAAACTAATATAAATATTATTTTTAATAAATTTATTAAATTTTTCATTAATATCTTTATTATTTTGTGATATGAATATCAATAGCAAAAAATATGATTTAGGATCTTTAGGGTTAAAACCTTGTAGAAAATTTATAAAGTTAGTGATAAGGTGGAATGAAAAAATCACTATTTCTACTGAAGGTAGGATGTGAAAGTCTTTTGGTACAACCCAAAGTTTCTTTAATCCCTCAAGAATTTAAAAGAATCACTCTCACTAAGATAAAAGAGATAAACTCTAATATTTCGAATAAAATTCTACTTGTTATTTTTGATAAAAATGGTTCAACCTATATAGAAGTTTTGTCATCAGAATTTTAAAGATTTAATAAAGAAAAATAAATGCTAATAATGATTCATTAACCTAAGAATTGAAAACTACTTAATAGAGACAAATAAAGACTAATAATGATTCATTAACCTATAAATTAAAAACTACTTAATAACTGATTGTAACTAAAATTGTGACAACCAAAAGTCAATCAGTTATACACCATTTTGTCTCTAAAAAATTGAGAACTAAATTTTTAATTGGGCCCTTATTACAATTTGCAATAAAATCAAACTAAAGTTCAAGTAATTGATTAATTCAAAACACAATTTGTTCAACCAACAATACTTATTGAAGAACTTCCTTTTTTTTCTCACTCTAGCCCTTGTCATGGTATAATATAAATATTATTTTTAATAAATTTATTAATTTTTTTCATTAATATCTTTATTATCTTGTTTTCTTATAAAAATAATTTTAGATAATTTAATATCTTTTTTATGTAATAAATATAATTAAAAGGTAGAAGTATAATTGGTAAAATGATAAGTAATTCAATTTTAAAATCTCTAAATATTATATTTTTTAAAACAAAAATTTCTAGCTAAAACATTATACATTTTAAAACAGAGAAATATATATTTTTGGATCAATGATTACATAAAATCTTTGATGTATAAGGTAAGTTATGAACCAGAATAAATAAAAAAATCAACGAATAAAAAAATTGAACACAACACCAATACATATCGATGTAGGAATAGCATTTCAAATTTCATTCACTTATTTTATTTTTTTAATTTATCAAGTTAATTTATAATACACATATATATTTTTTAATAAAATAATTATTTTTTAATTTTTATTTAAAAATAATTATTATTTTATAATATGAATCAACCCATAAACCTACTATTAATCTGTTTTAAATCTATGTAAATTATAACTAAAATAAATCAAATTAAAATAATTTAAATTTAAAATTTTTTCACGATATTTTTTAATTGTCTATCAAACTTAACTTATTTTAATATTCTTTATAAAAATTACATATTACAAAATATAAAATACATAATAAGAACTTACCCATCTCAGATCTTACAATGTGGAAGTGTAAGATGTTAACTTCTAATAAGTCATAATCTTTATCATATATAATATATGATATATTAATACAAGTTAATAACTATAAATGTTTTTGGTCTTTAACAATAATATTATTCATTAATTATATATACATATAAAGAGTAAATTTATGTAAAATAATCATTGTTGCGTTGGCACAAAATTCAGTGTGATAAAGAAGAGTGAGTGGTATAACTTTACAGGAACAATGGCGTGTTGGGCATGAATTTTCTTTGAAGAAAGAAGTGTAAATGTTAGACTCTGACTCAATGGTCCAACATTTAAATGTCACGAATTTAATGTTATGGACATATTTATTCATTTATAAGATAAGATAAGGTGTTAGGCGCGTATAGGGAAAAGTATTAAATAATGTATACCAATTAAAGCATGCAAATAAATGTAAACACATTTTTCTTTCTCCATTTTAATATGCATATAAATTTCTTGCAAATGAAAATGGGCATATACCCATATAAATAATTTTCGGAATCAAATTTGATTTATTTGTTTTTTTAGATTCTAAGAATAATTTTATAAATTAACTTCAAAATTTATTTTTAAAAAATTGTAAAATAATCTTATTTAGTAATTATAGTTTAAAAATTATTTAAAACAAAAAGTATGGTAATAATATTTTTTATTAAATTTACGAAGATGGAAGCAAGTATAGTATTATTATTGAAATTTTTAGGAATAAAATATATATTAACTTGTGAAAAAAAATCTATAGATTCCGTTATCAACATTGATAAGATTACTATAACGACCCTAGAAATCGCTATTATGATGTCTTCGCAAAGTAGTAAATAAGTAAATAACAACATCTATTTTACATTATATTACTGTAATTGTAACATAGATTGAAATTCCGGTTCACTAACTGAACTTCAAAATATAGTAACATAATTTATTTATATATTATACATGTAAAAGTAGCTCCCTCGAAGTTATCCCATTGAACTATCTCTGCTGTCCAGTAGTCACATCTCCATCTCTCAACTCCTGATCTGCTCCCACATAAAAGTGATCATCGCAGTCTCATCCATATGGAAAAATAGGGGTAAGTATTAAATCATTCGATATAATAAAACAAATATAGAAGTAATAATTATATAATGATCAATTACGAAATTATCAACACACTAAGACACCTTCCGGAAGTATACCCTAACTATGTCCGAACTCAGAGGCTATCATCTGTGGGCACATTGTGATCGGTACCGCAGTACCATTCCGACCACCCTCCACACGAGTAGGATTACCGGCGCCCTTCATCACTCATACTTGAGTACCCCTCCGAGCGCGCCACCAGTCATCCCCTCATCGACTTGACTTCTCACCACCTGATCTCGTAGTCTACCTGACCCGACCAATCAGTGAAGTCTGGGACCTCATTCAGAATTCTCCGACATAGTTATTACACTAATGTACTTTGTACCACCTCGGGTATCATTCAAACATAACAAAAATTATTCACATTTGCCGGATTTTGGACCACTCGTCCTCACGGCTCATTCGGTCAATAAAAATAGTATTTGACCGATTCCGACACCAACCCTCCCCCTCAGTCTAGCCAATATATAACGTCTCAGGACTGATTCTGGGCATCAGCCCTCAGGCTCAGTCTGACCCACACACGTCACAACACACTACTTTCATTCTCTCTCTCTCTCTTTATATATATTTTTTTCTAAAATCATTTTCAAAATTATTTCCGAAATCATTTCCGAAACTATTTCTGAAACTATTTTCGAAATCATTTCCGAAATCATTAAATTACTATTTTGCCCTTAATCTTTTCTTAAAATTCCATGTATGTCCCTAAATGACTATTTTACCCTTGGACATTTTTGAAAATTCCTTCCATGTCCTGAAAATGACTATTTTGCCCTTGGACATTTTCAAAAATTCCTTCCATGTCCCGAAAATGACTATTTTACCCTTGAACAATTTCGAAAATTCCATTTATGTCCTTAGGATGTAAAATGACTATTTTGCCCTTGAACATTTTCAAAAATTACATTTATGTCCCTAGGATGTAAAATGACTATTTTACCCTTAATCTTTTTAAAAAATTCCCACCATATCCCTTTCTTCTTCCTTCGCCCAATAACAACATTGAATTTTGCAGATTTTTGCATATTTCAAATTACTCATTTTTAGACAACCAAACTAGTCCCAAATCGAAATTAAACATGAATTATATCTAATTTGAGTTGAAAACAACAATTTTACCATATAATTCATCCTTAATTTTAAGAATTTCAAAAACTTTCAAACCATTAACAGTGCATCCAAAATCAGAAATTCTTCAAAATCAGACATTCACATAATTCATATCTCTACTCCTATTCCTTATTCACAGGGTATTCATAGAGTACCCAACAATTCAATTTCATATATTGAATGAATTAAACTTCCCCCTACCTGGTATGGTATTTCTATCGAAGTTTTCCCACTTAATTCAAGCTCTCTCCCGTTTCATCAGATCCTACACGAGTAGAGTCTCGTTGCTTGAAATTTAGATAATAGAAGAAGAAGAAGAATGAGGAACATGTGATATGGGAGAAAGAATTTCCTGCAGAAACCATTTATCCCCCTTCAAACATATAAAAGAAAAAATTTTACATGAGAAAAACTTCGTCACAAAGTTTTCTTGTAAAAATCATACATCACAATTACTGTTGAAAACTAGTGTTGTAAAAAAAGAACAATAATCTAGCTTGTAACATTTCTACTTTCCGTTTCGACTTTCTTCCTTCTTTTCATGATTTTTAATTGTTTTACAAAGTTACGTAACCTAGATAATTAACGAAAACTAAAAAGCGGTTTTAATTTAAGTTCCTACAATTCAACTTATATACAACTTCCGAATTCATCAATATTTGTCATTTTTTCCTCAACTGAGTTGTCTATTCCGCAGGTAAAGTTTTCCCTCCTAACGTACTAGTATTGTCGCCCCTATAGTTTAAAGATAAAAACTTTATCACAACCTTTTTGCTTTTGTGACCTGTGTGTTCTATGGCGAGGTAGGGTTTTACACTTGCCTTCAAGGCCTCATGGCATCCATGTTGATGTAAAAGAGATAGTATAATTGGTAGAAAACAAGTATATATTTTGTTAGGGTTTTCTGTTTAGATAGGTTTATATCTTATAGTTTGAATATATGATAGATTATATCATACTGTGAAATAGGTTTGAATATCTGTTAGGTTATTCTAATTGTTAACTATGTTTGAATATGGTTAGGGTTGCTCTATTTATTATTAATTAGTTTTATATTAAATATTTAACATGAAATCGAATATAAAATCCAACTTATTTTTAGTTGTTATCATATTGTTGTAAGTTAAAAATATTTTTTATCTAATTTGGCAGTTATTATGTCGTTGTGAGTTAAAAGTTTCTTTGTCTAATTTAGCAGATTTTATTCAGGAAAACATACTGGAAGTCTTATATTGTTTGTTTAATGTCATTTGATATGATTTAATAATGGTTAGATTAGTAACTTATTTATTACCAATTTCATTTTACGCTAAAATCTAAACAATTTATTACGTAATTTTTATTTAAATATTATGATAATAATATATTGTTTAAAACTAAACTTTATTGTATAATAAATTTTATTTATTGAAAATGAGCATAAATTTTCTTAGGTAAGTAAGATTCCTATTCCTATAAATTTTTTTTTAATTGAATGTTTAAAAAATAATGCCTAGTTGAAATAATAATGGCCATTAAAGTGATGACAAAGTAAAGTTTTACAATGTCACAAGTTTGCATACACAGTCATATGTTGCTGGAATTCTATATTGTAATGGAAGAAAAGTAAAATTTGAATTAATATAATTACAAAGCGACTTCAAATATTAATAAATCAAAATTATAAATTAGGTTGTAGATATATTTTAAATTAGTCAGAGAGATTTTCTTTGAACTTTACTATTGATATGTATACTTTAAATTCTTTGACTTTTAGTCCTGTAGTTTTATTTTTTAGGTTTCAGTTCCTGTAGCACAATGTTTTTAAAAGAATACGTGTGATGATATATTACTTGTGACAATAACCAAAAGAAAAAAATGGAAATTAAAATCTAATTAAACTTTTAAGATTAGGGTTAAGACTAAAATCAAGATAAATTGTTGGGATCACAAATAAATTCAAAATTTAAAAACTTTAGATCATGTTAAAAAATATATAAACATTATTAAACATTTCATATTAAGCATTTTAAGTATATTGACTATGATTATAATTAGATTGATATAACCATATTATTTTTTATTTAAAATATAGTATATTATAATTTATCAGAAAATAGTAAACAAATTATTTATCAGTTTCCTAAACTCTTGCTTAACATGGATTTTATCAATAAATATTTAGCATACATCAATTTTTTTTAATAAAAACTAGAGACTATTTTTCTTTAAAAAAATTACAATTAAAATTTTAAAATAATTTTATAAAATTAAATTAAATATTTTTATTAAACTAATTTTATAAAATTAAGTTAAATACTTCAATATTAAAATACTTAAAAAAATTACCATTAAATTTTCCGATTGTGAAATTCAAAGGATAAATGTTTGTTTTAGATAATTGAAAAGGAATAAATACTTTAAAATATATAAACCATATTATAATCAAAATTTAGAAACATATAAATTATATATTATATTTATAAATAAATAATTTATGTTATGATATAATAATATTATTATTTTACTAAAGAATACTGTGTATTTGTCGCATACAGCAATACACGCTAATTTTTTTAAAGGGTCTTTTTTTAACGACTATGCTAAAATAATACTTATAGTTTTTTCTAAAAAGTATTAGAATTTAATTTTAAAATAAAAAAATATATATAAGAAACTAAGAAAATATCATAGAAACACCTTCGTTAAAAAAGTTACTAAAAATATTTTCATTGAATAATACTTTCAAAAATATTTCTTTAATATAAAAAAATTATATTTATCATATAGTCTATAGAGGTAAATTTGCC